TATAAATGCATGAAGAAGTTTAGAAGAATAAGCAAATATATATATGTATATATATATATATATATATATGCACATATATATTTCTAGCATAAAAAGTCTGATGAATTAATGAATTTTCTTTAGTCTTTTGATGTAACTGAGTAAATGTTTAGGTGAAGTATGAAATGCCTAAGACACTCTTGTCCTGAATTTTAACATCCTGATTTGACTCCTATTTTCCCCATCTGTCTATGGCCTTGGGCAACCATCCCACATATCTGTTCCCATCTACTTATTTGTAAAACAGTACTGGTAATAAATACTTTCTAGTGTTGCTATAAAGAGTTAGTGAAGGAAAATCATATAGCACTTAGAATATTATTTACATGAGAATTGTATAGAATGTCACGGCTGCTCTTGTTTATTAACATGGATTTAGGTGACTCCCAGGAATCTTTTTCATGATGGGGCATCAAAGCAAAAGTGGTTTATAAATATTTTTTTTTAGGATGCATACACAAAGCCTTGCTTGAAGGCTTACCCATATAGTAGCTAGTGTTTTCTATTCTCTTTTATTAAGAAAGCTTCTAAGAAAAAATTGTAGTATTAGAAAAATGGATGTCTAAAGCAGTTTTTTATTGCTTTATTAATAGAAAATGGCTGGGAGTCAGATATGAGAGTCAAACCTGATAGATCCACAGAGTGACGGAGAAAACCATCATCAACCTCTACTCTCCATATTTCCCCACATGAAAGTGTTGCGTATCTCCTTTTACCATTCCTTTCTCTTGTGTGTCCATTTCTCTCCTCTGAGTCAGTCAGAAGATTGTATGGTCCACTCTGGCCAGATGAATGTGAACTCCATCCTCTGAACCAAGGCCACACACCGTTAGCTGTCTTGAAACAACTACACAAACAAATCTCTTGCAACCTTTCCCCCATTTTTTTCTAAATGAAAACAAAAGGGTTTTAACTCTAACATAGTAAAACTATATATGATAAAAGCAATTATAAAGTAAGGATTACATTCACAATTTCCAGTCCATTTGTGTTTGGAAAAGTCTAAGAAAATACTCCATCTGTCCTCTCTTGGTGAGTCCAAAGTTTTGTACTTAATTTACTTTCTATCTTAACTAAGGAAGCTATAATTATAACAATCTAATCTTCAGCCCAATCAAAGATCAGAGAGGGATATAATATTACCTGAGTAAACAGGAGGTGCAAAGCAAACAACATTCAAAACTATAGGAATGACAGAGATATCTGGCTGCCTGGACAGTCACACCAACATTCCTCTGCTATGTAGGGACATCCATATTTGGTTTACAGGCCTGGAATATCTGACAGACTTTTTTGTAAGTAGGAAATTTTGAACGACTGTCCTACCTTGCCTTGGAAAAGTTTAACAGTCACCTTCTTTTATATCCTGCTTGTCCAATTTAAATACCATGCTGCCAGCTGTTAAGACAAGGGTAGTTTCTTGCCCAGTGGCTATTTTTGCTACGAAGAAAACAAACTGAATGTGGAGTTCTTCAATGCTCATCATCTCTTTAGAAGTAAATTGGTGCTGCCAGGAGCAGATGTGTTTTACTTTCATGAAAAGCCTTATGTTAACAAAACATTTTAAATTCTGAAGTGCTTGAAGACCATCTATCTTTTTAAAATAAATCTCTGTTTTAACTTGAAAGCATACCTACTGTAACTATAAGACTGATCATTATAGATGACTAACATGTCTTTCTTTGTTATCCTGATAGCTTTGAAGGACTAGAATTTTACATTACAGTTTTAAATGAGCTACATAGAAACAATACCTAAACAAAAGTAGAAACATAAATACAATATAACAAAAATAACCTTAAATTTGCATCAATATACAAAATATCTTAAACAAGAGTAGAAGCATATATACAGTATGACAAAATAACCTTAAATTTGTATCAATATATAAATATTCATACCGATTCAAAATATTTGAGAGTAGAAATTGCTTTTTCAGTTTAAAAGTAGATTTAGTAATATACTTTTTATCCTATCATTTCTATATCCCCTTTTTTTCTTTTCAGAATGAGATCTGTGAATCTAATCTCTTGCTTGGTTTCCTCCTTTCCCTTGACCAATAACAACTTGTAAAGAATGGCCTATATGATGATAAAAATTCATAACCCACTGAGTGACCAGAAATCACCCACCCCACCTCTTGGGAACATAGGCAATGTATTCTTAAAATTGCTTACTGTTGTCTTGGGATGACAGCATCTTTAGGGAACCCTGAGAAAACTGGGTTAATGGTCAAGTCCTGGAAGAGCTGGCTGTATTCTTCTTCTTCTTCTTCTTCTTCTTCTTCTTCTTCTTCTTCTTCTTCTCCTTCTCCTTCTCCTCCTCCTCCTCCTCCTCCTCCTCCTCTTCCTCCTCCTTCTCCTTCTCCTCCTTCTCCTCCTCCTCTGCCTCCTCCTCCTCATCATCATTATTGCTATTATTATTATTTTAGTTTCTGTGTTAAGGGAAAATGTGGAGCTTATCTGAAATCTTGACTGGGTAGTTTGTGAGGCTGGACCAAGTCAGCTAGCAGCTTTGAAGTTGTTCTGGATGCAGAGTTTTGAGGAAACTGCATCATAGGCATTCTGAGAGGCTGGATCACCTGGACTACTTGTCTTTATTGGTGTCTAGTCCTTTTTTTTTGCTGAAAACATGCAAACTTTTAAAGGTAACATATAAATCTGCATTAACACAGGAATGGAATGTGCAGTGTGCACAAATCAGTTAAAGATGATTTTTGTTTGCTTTATGTTTGAGCAGGTAAATGGCATCTGTTAACTTTATGTCTGCTTTGACTATATAAACAGCCTCTATCCATGACATATGAAAAGATGGCATGTAATTATAAGTAATGAGTACTTTGAAACCAACAAGATTTATCATAACTCATCTGTTTCAGGGTTGTTCCAATAATAGAGGGATCAGCATATATGTCACCTGTTTTGTAGTCTTTCTTGGTTTCTTTTTTCTTGTCTGTGGCCAAGATTTTTAAGAGGTCTCCCCCAATGAAATCTGATTTTCATTCCCCAATGAAACACATTTCCTGACTTCCATTCTGAAACCAAGACATTCCTAAAGTACCTAGGCTGGTTTAATTCAGCAGTCCCTTTCACAACCCAATGTCATTCACTCATCAGGATTCTAAAAATTCAGTCAGCAAAACACCACACAGGATCCAGATCTATTACTCTCTTTAAGGACTTTATTATTTTAAATTACCTTTGTCTATGACTGTCTATACCCATGTTTTATTGTGTCTGTTTACAGGTTTTCTCGGTATGGACAGTTTTACTGCTTACCTTCAGCCTTTTTGTATTACATGAGCCAAGCCTTATACCTGCTGTGTGGCTCCACACTTGGTGCTGCTGGCTAGATGAAGCCTGCAGGCAGCCTCAGGAAGCCCCACCTCTGTACACCATGGCCCTGTGGTCCGCCTGAGAGACTGCATGGCTAGGAAGCCATGTCTGACTCTGTGTTTATGTGTTTAGAACATTTTTAAAAGCTTTCTTGGGCCCTATGTGGAAATACGTGGCCCCACTTTGGACAGCATATAAAGCAGATTCCTTTACTGTTTTATTAATAAAAAAACAATCGGGAGTCAGATTTTAGGGTAAAACTTGATCGATTCAAAGAACAACGTAGAAAAAGAACAGCAACTTCTACTCTTCACTCTTCCCTGCTCCAACCCACCTCAACTCTCCTTTGCCCCCTCAGTAGTCCTCTAACGTGTCCCTTTATCTCCTCTCAGACCAGCAGAAACAATGTTCTACTCCAGCAGCTGAATGGGGACCCGCCCTTCGAACCAAGGCCTGACTCCATTGACAGTCTCGGAGCAACAACACAAATTTCCTGCAACAGATGTCAGAAGTCACGTTGGTAGTATTTCATTCTGAAACAGTGTCCCAGTCATAGCAAAATGTCACCTTCTGAAAATGCTACCTTTGATACCCAATGGTCATTAGAAAAACCCCATGACACTTAGCTAAGACTGAAAATTATTCAACATGAGTCTTGGCAAGAGTTCAGCTTAAGATGAAATTCATTTAAAGTGGTTAAGATATCTAGGGTCCTTCCGGCCCAAAGTGGTTAAGATATCTAGGGTCCTTCCGGCCCAAAGTGGTCAAGATATCTAGGGTCCTTCCGGCCCGCAATGCTTTTAAACAGCTTCTCTGTGTTAGAGAGCACTCTCTCCAGGCGGCTGGGATGGGGACTGCTCTTGCCACTCACTCACTCATGTTTAACTTTTGGTTCCTTATTTATTCCTTTTGCAAACTCTAACTTGACAAACTTTCTTTGTAGGCTTTTACTTGATTAGTAAGTGCGGTGTGTCTATATTCCAGGGGAAAAACTCCTCTGAGCATGTTTGTCTTAGTTACTCTCTCAGAACTTTTAAAAACAAATTCTCGAATATGTCAAAGCTTAGAAAGACCTGTAAAGGCAAAGAGCATATATATATATATATATATGGACTTCACTGTGATATTGAGAATGTGATGGCTTTCCGGGGAGATTCTGACTTTTTTAGTTCTTTCAGAAAATTCATAGTTAGCATTACAGAAAAAATACGCCAAAGCACTAACCTACAACATTTAAGAATAGTTCTATTTCAGGCTTCTTTGAAACCTAAGTGTTATTAGGCATCTCAAAAGCCAGCTTTTGCCTTTCGTAGTGTGCCCAGGTCCAATTCATGAAATTTGAATACAAATTCCCATGGATAGAGGACCTTGATTTGGAGAGAAATGCTTCCTCTTATTTCCAATCCATGGTTTTCATCTCCTTTCTCGGATTCTCTTTATACATACTTTTGGTTCGGCAGGTCAATGATTTCTTAAAGGAACCGCGAGGAAGGAGACTGGGCCTCCTTCCACAAATTTGGTTCTTTTCTGAGGTCGCGCTGTCGGCCTGTTGCTGGGCTCCGCAGGATCTGGGCTGGGGCGGAGCAGGCGGACCGCCAGGGGGTGTGGCTAGGGGAGTGGCCTGCTCGCTGGGCTTGCCCGCCCGGCTTTCAGCGGAGCTCCGCTGGCTGGCACAGCCTAGGTTTGCCGCCGCTAGGTTTGCAGCCGGTGCCTGCAGCTCTGGTGGCCGGCGCGGGATGCTCACAGATTCTCCGCGTCTCCGGAGCTTGCGTTCGGCTCGCGCAGAGCCAACTTGGCCCGGTCTGGGAGGCACCCAGGGGATGCTGCTCCTGAGAAGTCCAGCGTCACAGCCTCGGGGCTCCAAAGGAAAAACCCGAGCTCTTGCAGGTGAAGCTGCGGTCCATCCGCGGTCTTCCGGAGGCCGCCTGCGCATCGCATCACTGCCAGCCTCGGCCACGCATATTACCCCGGCACCGCCGGCGCAGGGAGCGCAGGAGAGTGGGGACCACGGCGGGGAAGGCGCGAACCGAACACCGAGGATGGACGCCCGCACCTGGCGTCTGAGCTGGCACTGTCTCCTCCTCCTGGCTCTCCTTGGATCTACCCGGAGCGAAGGTGTGGAGAGCTGCGAAGAAGTTCGGAAACTTTTTCAGTGGCGATTTGGGGGAGCTGTCAAGGGACTACCGTATACGCCGCGGGCAGGTACGCGCAGTTGGTTGACCAGGAGGTGTGAGGGGTTCCGACCGGCCGGAGACCTCTGGTCTTGCGACCATGCTCTCCCAGGCAATCCAGAGATAGTCTTCAGTGAAAAGATGAGTTTTAGGGTCCTCCAGTCTGACTAGCTGAATCGAGGGGAGGTCTCTGGGGATGCTTCCTGTGCTCAGGAAAGTAGAGCAGCTTGAAGGGGCTCCTTAACTGCGCCTGGGGTTCATCAGAGCTCCGGAGCATTTGCTTCCTGCCGGTGCTCTCTTAGTCTCCAGTGATATGTCTGAAGGACTTGTAAAGCGGAGGTTTGTTCACCGTGCTGGCAAGTCCATAGTAGATCTGTTCTTAGAGGGAAAGTCACCAGGGGTCCTGCCTTTGCTGTTTTCTCAAGGAATTGTGCTGGTTGCCGCAAGTTTGATGGTGAAAGACCCAGGCATATTCCTTTGCTGGACAGATGCAGCGGATGTTTTCTGTAATGAGCACTGAAACCAGTACACTCAGACATGACCTTTAGTCGCCCCTCTGCATCCTGGTACCAAGCTTTCCTAAAGAAACCCGAGCTTCTCAGTGTGTCTCCCCCACGCACAAAGTAGTTTCACCCCTAAAATAGCATTATGGCAACAGGCGTTTAAACCCTGCATTTTGGGGGTTCTTCGCATAGATGAGGCATGCCGGAGACTCACGGGGGAAAAAAGATAGGTAATGTGGCAGGTGGAGACCATTCTTCCTATAAGCTCCCTTTACCTGCATTCATGCCCTGTGCCTTATCCTAGGACTCCAATTCTTGGCTGCTGGTGGAAGAGAAGGTGTTACTGAGCTGATGCAATATCAAGTGTCTGGAGCTAAGTTAGTGGAGTAAGGCTTGCCTTTGCTGAAGTCAACAGAAGGGATGGACTCAAAGGGAGTTGTTGGGTGAACAAAGAATTTGCAAAATGCCTGAGTACAAAAATACGTTCTTTCTTCCATTGCAAGGAGACTTGTCTTTAGCACTCCCCGTGGTAACATTTGCTTGGTAAATGTTCTGCCAGTAAACTAAATTCTTATCATCCTTCCCGGATTTCTGGGCACATAAAACCCATTGACCAGCACTTACGTGATCCCTTTTAAATATATCAATATTTATTTAAATGTCTATTCAGTACACAGTCACTTTTCAAACTGCTTGACACACATAGCTGGTACTTCCAACTTAGGGACATTCTTGTCTTCTCAACAAGCAAACAAATAACAACAAAACCCCCTTATATGTATATACTTACTTATTTTAGTATATTTTTCATCAAGAAATGTATCTCACTTAGCTGCTTATAAAAACTACCTGATTTGTGTGCAATGGATGTTGAACTGGGAAATCCTCACATTATGAGATTTTTGTCCCCTGGATGTCATAGCTTTGGCTGCATGTTGACAGCTCTGCAGTGAGGCTTTGATTCCAACAGCTTCTCACATTTCAGTGTTTCTGGTGCCTGCCGAATACAACACACGGTAGCAAAGTGTTGAGTTTCATTTCTAGAACCTGTATATACCATCCCTTTCTAGAGCATTGATCATCAAGATCACCTTTTGCCATGATATAAGGGACCCCTGAAGCTCCTCTACTCTAGAGAAGTGCAAAAGCTTGTCATTGTTTGCATTTGATACATGTGGCACAAACCAAGACCTGCAAGGGTATGTGCCTTCTGTGTAAGGTCATCCTGGGCTGCTTTCCTGTGGAAGCACCTCTCTTTTTTTTTTTTTTTTTTTTGTGTGTTTTTTTTTTAAATTTATTTATTTATTAAGGATTTCTGCCTCGTCCCCACAACCGCTTCCCATTTCCCTCCCCCTCCCCCGATCAATTCCCCCTCCCTCATCTGCTCGAAGAGCAATCAGGGTTCCCTGACCTGTGGGAAGCCCAAGGACTGCCCACCTCTATCCAGGTCTCGTAAGGTGAGCATCCAAACTGCCTAGGCTCCCACAAAGCCAGTACGTGCAGTAGGATCAAAAACCCACTGCAATTGTTCTTGAATTCTCAGTATTCCTCATTGTCCGCTATGTTCAGCTAGTCCGGATTTATCCCATGTTTTTTCAGACCTAGGCCAGCTGGCCTTGGTGAGATCCCAATAGAACATCCCCATTGTCTTAGTGTGTGGGTGCACCCCTCGTGGTCCTGAGTTCCTTGCTCGTGCTCCGTCTCCTTCTGCTCCTGATTTGGACCTTGAGATTTCTGTCCGGTGCTCCCGTGTGGGTCTCTGTCTCTGTCTCCTTTCATCGCCTGATGAAGGTTAATATTCCTGAGGATGCCTATGTGTTTGTCTTTGGATTCACCTTCTTATTTAGCTTCTCTAGGAACATGAATTATAAGCTCAATGTCCTTTATTTATGGCTAGAAACCAAATATGAGTGAGTACATCCCATGTTCCTCTTTTTGGGTCTGGCTTACCTCACTCAGGATAGTGTTTTCTATTTCCATCCATTTGTATGCAAAATTCAAGAAGTCCTTGTTTTTTACTGCTGAGTAATACTCTAATATGTATATATTCCATACTTTCTTCATCCATTCTTCCGTTGAAGGGCATCTAGGTTGTTTCCAGGTTCTGGCTATTACAAACAATGCTGCCATGAACATAGTTGAGCATATACTTTTGTTGTATGATAGGGCCTCTCTTGGGTATATTCCCAAGAGTGGTATTGCTGGATCCAGGGGTAGGTTGATCCCGAATTTCCTGAGAAACCGAAACACTGCTTTCCAGAGTGGTTGCACAAGTTTGCATTCCCACCAGCAATGGGTGAGTGTACCCCTTTCTCCACAACCTCTCCAGCAAAGGCTATCATTGGTGTTTTTTATTTTAGCCATTCTGACAGGTGTAAGGTGGTATCTTAAAGTTGTCTTGATTTGCATTTCCCTGATCGCTAAGGAAGTTGAGCATGACCTTAAGTGTCTTTTGGCCATTTGAAGTTCTTCTGTTGAGAATTCTCTGTTCAGATCAGTGCCCCACTTTATAATTGGGTTGATTAGCCTTTTACGGTCTAGTTTCTTGAGTTCTTTATATATTTTGGAGATCAAACCTTTGTCAGTAGCAGGGTTGGTGAAGATCTTCTCCCAGTCAGTGGGTTGTCTTTTTGTCTTAGTGACCGTGTCCTTTGCTTTACAGAAGCTTCTCAGCCTCAGGGAGTCCCATTTATTCAATGATGCCCTTAGTGTCTGTGCTGCTGGGGTTATACATAGGAAGTGGTCTCCTGTGCCCATGTGCTGTAGAGTACTTCCCACTTTCTCTTCTATCAGGTTCAGTGTGTTCGGACTGATATTGAGGTCTTTAATCCATTTGGATTTGAGTTTTGTGCATGGTGATAGATATGGATCTATTTTCATTCTTCTACAGATTGACATCCAGTTTTGCCAGCACCATTTGTTGAAGATGCTCTCTTTTTTCCATTGTATACTTTTAGCTCCTTTATCGAAGATCAGGTGTTCATAGGTTTGTGGGTTAATGTCAGGGTCTTCTATTCGATTCCATTGGTCGACTTCTCTGTTTTTATGCCAATACCAAGCTGTTTTCAATACTGTAGCTCTGTAATAGAGTTTGAAGTCAGGGATGGTAATGCCTCCAGACAATCCTTTATTGTATAAGATTGTTTTGGCTATCCTGGGTTTTTTGTTTTTCCATATAAAGTTGATTATTGTCTTCTCCAGATCTGTGAAGAATTTTGATGGGATTTTGATGGGGATTGCATTGAATCTATAGATTGCTTTTGGTAGAATTGCCATTTTTACTATGTTGATCCTCCCAATCCAAGAGCAAGGGAGGTCTTTCCATTTTCTGGTGTCTTCTTCAATTTCTTTCTTCAAAGACTTATAGTTCTTGTCAAGTAGATCTTTCACTTCCTTGGTCAGGGTTACCCCAAGGTATTTTATGCTATTTGTGGCTATCGTGAAAGGTGATGCTTCTCTGATTTCCCTCTCTGCTTCCTTATCCTTAGTGTATAGGAAGGCAACTGATTTTTTGGAGTTGATCTTGTATCCTGCCACATTACTAAAGCTTTTTATCAGCTGTAGGAGTTCTTTGGTAGAATTTTTGGGGTCGCTTATGTACACTATCATATCATCTGCAAATAACGAAAGCTTAACTTCTTCCTTTCCAATACGAATCCCCTTGATCTCCTTATGTTGTCTTATTGCTATTGCTAGAATTTCAAGCACTATATTGAAGAGGTATGGAGAGAGTGGACATCCTTGTCGTGTTCCTGATTTAAGTGGGATGGCTTTGAGTTTTTCTCCGTTTAATTTAATGTTAGCTGTTGGCTTGCTGTAAATAGCTTTTATTATATTTAGGTAGGACCCTTGTATCCCTATTCTCTCCAAGACCTTTATCATAAAGGGGTGTTGAATTTTGTCGAATGCTTTTTCAGCATCTAGTGAAATGATCATATGGTTTTTTTCTTTCAGTTTATTTATATGGTGGATTACATTGATAGATTTGCGTATGTTGAACCAGCCCTGCATCTCTGGGATGAAGCCTACTTGATCATAATGGATAATTTTTCTTATGTGTTCTTGGATTCGGTTTGCCAGTATTTTATTGAAAATTTTTGCGTCGATGTTCATGAGTGAGATCGGTCTGTAATTCTCTTTCTTGGTTGGGTCTTTTTGTGGTTTTGGTATCAGGGTAACTGTAGCTTCATAAAAGGAATTTGGCAATGACTCTTCTGATTCTATATTGTGAAATACATTAAGGAGTATAGGTATTAGTTCTTCTTGGAAGTTCTGGTAGAATTCTGCATTGAAACCATCTGGTCCTGGGCTTTTTTTCGAAGGGAGATTTTTGATAACCATTTCTAATTCTTCGCGAGAAACCGGTCTATTTAGATCATTCACCTGGTCTTGGTTTAGCTTTGGTATGTGGTACTTATTTAAAAAAATGTCCATTTCTTTTGTATTTTCCAGTTTTGTGGCATACAGGCTTTTGTAGTAAGATCTAATGATTCTCTGAATTTCCTCTGTGTCTGTGGTTATGTCCCCC